GTACCATATTGTATTATACTTCATCAAAGTTTATTTTTAAGATTCATATTTGGTTATGAATAAGATTTTATCCCTACAGATCTATCACTGCTAGACTTACAATTCTTTAGGTGGGTTTATTACAATGTAAGAAACATTGGAATTGGCTGGGACTTAGGAAATCTGGAATCTGATCTGGAATCTATCAATGTCAAAACATGTGGTCAGGGGCAAATCTCCATGGTGTCAACTGCAAAATGGACTAGACTGTCTCTGAGTTCCAATATACTAATTATATTATGTATATATTATGTTAGCAATATATAATTACATTACTTTTCTGACCTGGTAAATAAACCTCTGCTGGACTGATAAGGCCCTGCCCTATCAGACCATTTCACACAGCAAATCTGCCATCTTTACCATCTCTTCTATTGCAGGAAGGCCAACCTCCCCATCTAGGAACCTTCTAATATGCATTGCCAAATCTGTGCCTCTGTTCATATTTTTCTTCTTTCCTGGGAAGTCCTCTGTTCCCAGCTGCCCACCCAGATTTCAAGTCCTCAGAGCCTGGAAGCACATCCCTCCCCACCCCCCACAATACATTCTTGACATATAGCTCCCAAATGAAACTGTATTCTCAGTCTTGGCTTAAATGGAGAATTTTTTATCTGCCAAATTAGAATAGATCTATTTTTAATTTTTAAATTGTTTCTTAGGAGTATTTTAGGACTCAGCTCATTGCCAGGCACCTTCGTGAAATCCTCTCATAATAACCTTGTTTCTCACTTCCATCCCTTTCGTAATAGCCTATACTCAATGGCAGGCTGAGCCAGCTTGCACTGGCTCACCAGAGCAGATTACACGCATCTCTTTCCAGTTTCATATTCAGTAATACCATGCTGGTAAATTGAAATCTATTGTGGAGAAATAGTTTTAGCTCAGAAACTGATGAACGTTAAAATCAGGACCATATTTTTCCCCTAGAGAGCTGGTTGTTAAAAATTTATCAACACACCACTGCCTTCATCCCTGTACCACATATTGAAACTGAGTCCATGCTATCTTGCATTGTTGTCTGTTGTCTCCTGTGTATCAGTCTTATTTCTCAAATTAGATTGTAAACTTTTTTTGAAAAAATGTGCCAGGACATCTAAATCTTCTGCAACCTTGACAAAATTGACTCAGAGAAGCACTCCGTAAGTATGTTTGAAGAGTATGAAGAATCCAGAATTCTCACTGCACTGTAATTAGAGCTCCATTTGCCAAGAAGACAGAGCTAGCTACCCACAAAAATAGTGGAAGCCAAACAATGAAGGATGCTTCCATGTAGCATCCTGGGGTAAATCTCAATATTTTTCTTCTCAATCTTTCTTCACATTTTTCCACAGGGAATCAGATGACAGAATCTAGAGCAACCTTGGGAAGAGAAAAGAAATATTGCATGGGAGAGGGAAGGGACAGTTTTGATCTAGTTGACAGTGACGTTGGAACCTAACAAGGACAAGTTTCTGAATTGACAGTAGGTGTCAGATTTTTATTAGCTGGATTTTTCCAACTCTTTGCCTCTGCTAGTTGGTAAATGTGTTCACTGTCCAGATTGAGAGACTAGAGTAAGGTATAGTATTAGTAAAGTATCTTTATACACCAACATTACCACACCTCCTGGGTCCTCTCCTTTTCTTGTTATTGTATAGATTTAAAGATCATTAGCTCTCAAATCAAGTTGCTTGAATCAATTCTCTTCTCTACCACCTAACTGTGCAGCCTTGAGCAATGTGTTTAGCTTTCACAACCCTCATTGTCATCTGTAATCGGGTAATAATGGTGCTTACCTCAGAGGAATACTGTGAGGATTAAATGAGATAATCCAGACAAAGCACTTAGCACAAGGGAAATGTTCAATAACTGTTATCTCTTAAAATTATCATTGG